TGCCATACCCTAGATACGCCACTGCAAAATAGTTGCTTTTAGTAGCCTAAAGCATGAAAATAGTTGCGAAAATAAGAACAAAATTTTTTAATAATATTACTAAAATTTGATTAAATGACTTCAATATCATATACCATGATCCTTTTAGTCTAATTGGTAGCGAATATAATTTTTAAATAAGCCTTTAGGATTTCTAGCACTAAATTCTTATATCAAAAAATTTGTATATTTGCAGAAAATTAAATACTTTTAATTGCTAGAAGGCATTCAAAAGAATACTTTTTCATTAAAAAAATATACTTTTTCTAAAAAATTTTCCCTTTTAACAATAGTTGATTTAGCAAATAATATATATGTATAAAAATATATATATTCACAGATATATTGTGAAAAGTGATAACTCAAAATCAAAATTCACGCATTGTAATATCGTATTACAAATTGTTTTTTTTTTTTAATCATGCGAAATTTAGAAGCAATAACAGTTGAAAACGCGATCAAGAAACAAAATGAACTTACAATGGAATCTGTGCAAATTGAAAAGTGATGACTCAAATTTGCAATTCAAAATTTTTCATTTAAAAAAAAAAAAAAAAAAATCTTGTTCAGAAGCTCCCCGAGGGCCGCAGGTTTTCAACCCAATTTATGCTAAAAAAAAAACATTGCTAGGAGTCTCCCAATAGTCTCCTTTTCCTGAAAATAGTTGCTTTTTTAGCATTTTCAGGCAAAAAAAAAGTTGCCATAGTCACCTCATGCCGAAAATAGTAGCCTGTGGCAACCCTTTATCGACCAGCCATCGTTGGAATTCAAACCTGTGCCACTTCATTGGAAGGTGAGTGCTCTATCACCTGAACCACCGCCGCTTTGTAAATTTTTTGTATAGCTGGATTCATTTGAACCTGAAGCAATAGGCATCAAAATTTCTGAAAACAACAAATTTTGCTAAGAAATATTTTTAGATCATTTTTAAGAAATTTAATTTTATCAAAAAAATGTAAAATCCAGGCATACATTGATCAACCAACACCAGTTTTTTTCATGGTACAAAATGCAACAAATGCAGAGGTGCCACATATCTGACAAGTTCAAGCAAGAAAACCAGTTTTAAAATTTGTTTTTTGTCTGCTGTATTGACTCTAAATATTAACCTGCAATGAAAATACTCGGTTTCATATAACATATACAAGGCTAGAAGTCCAGAATATAAAAATTAAGGACAAAATTGCCTCCAAACTTGAGGACAATTTAAGACCGCTGATTCTCTAATTGAAAAAATTTGTACGATACCGCAAGGATTCGCAGATATACAATTAGTAATAGTTTTAGTGGTTCTTATACTTAAAACAAAAAAGAAATATTTTTTAAAAAAAACTCAAAAATTTCACACACAATGTTACACAAAAAAAAAACTTTTTTTTTCAAAATGAGGAGAAAATAGTCTAAATATGGAAAATCGCTAAGTAGTAGTAAAATACGAGAATTCCTTGTGAAAAACAGTTCAGTAATCATATAGTGGTGATGGGGAAGTAGAGAGATATGAGCTTCAAGGTGTTGGTATTCAAGGTGTTTCGTTTTTCAGACACCCCTTCTCAAGCTTTGTTCAATTTTAAATTTAGTAAAATAGAATTTAATTATTTCATATCTTTGGATGGACAATTTGTAATTTCTTTCTTATAATTGGTGCATAAAATGCGTCATTAAATCATTGCAATTTCTCTGAAATCTGTTTTGTTTGGGTACAAAAGCTTCATAAACTTAGCAGATTTTAGATCCTTTGTAATACATCCTTTGTACATTTGCCTAAATAGTGCACTTTTAGTTTATATTAAAATATATAGAGATGATGGTTAAAATATTAAAAGAAAAACCAAATTGAATTGTTATTGATACTATGTATATTTAATATACATAGTATCAATAACAATTGTATACTATTGTATATTTAATTAAATTTTTTTCTAGTTTTTTTTTTATACATATCTCAGATAGTCAAAAAAAAAAGAAGATAAATGTTATTTAAAATTGCGTAAACCTAAAAAAAAAAAAAAAAAAAAAAAAAAAAAAAAAAAAAAAAAAAAAAAAAAAAAAAAAAAAANAAAATAAAAAAAAAGAAGAAGAAAAAAAAAGATTTTTATTAGCTAAAAATAAAATACTATTCCAAATTGTATTGCATAATGCATTTTATTTATTATATTATTTTTGATATTTCACATTAACCACTAGTTTGTTACTTATATTCTAAAATCTGTGCAGATTTAAGAGGGAATTTTTGTGCAGATTTATAGAGTTCAGCGTATTATGGTTACACAATTTACTTATTGAGCGAATGCAATTACTATGTAACTTATTTACATTGTGACTATTTAATATTGTTGTAATATATCAGTATTTACAATAAAAATTTTATTTCTTAGAAAGAAACATCATTTTTTTCGTTTCAAGATGCATATTCTTTTATTAATTAAGCACAATTTTAATTATGTACTGCATATTTTACAACATACAATTATTCACGATTCAAAAGAATAGGTTTTCACTGAATAAGTTTGTAAAAAATCACATGACAAAAAGTAATAAATAGATAAATTTTTTTTAAAAAATTTTCTACAGCTATATAAAAGATCTACATAAAGCAGCTGTATGATCAACACCACAGCTAACTTTCAAAACTTCAGACGGGACCGGAACCTAAAATTAATAAATATGAGATTAGCTTAAACATGATAATAATAAAAATGATCAATTTAATTGAAAGAGCATAACATTTGCGTGAAACAACATTTTCAAAGTAAATTTGCAGATAATTAAATTCCGACATCATTCCATGCATTTTAAACCATCTCTCTATACTAAAAAATCGTAAAGACCGCAGCTGCTGTTTTGCATGTTCATCTTAACAATACATTTTGTTCTGCTGCACATAACAATAAAACTTAGAATTATGAAGGATTGCAGGAAATGTGCAGAGTGTACGATGGAAAAAAAACTCAACAACTAGTTCAAGAATTATTAAATGCTAAACTGGAAGGGAAAAAAACACTATGTTTGGTTTGGCCTGTTGAAATTGGGTTGAAATTAGAGATGCAGAAAGAGATATTTTTGTTTGTGAACTTAGTGAAAATTTTGTTTCAAAATACCAATCTGTTCAAAAGTTATTGCAAATTTAAGTGCTTTTATGTAATTTTACTGTCAGCTTCTCATTTATTTCTCTTGAGTCACATAATCTGCATTTTTTTAAATTTCTTTCTTAAGTACACCATTATTTCTCAAAGCTTAGCAATTGTTTATTTCCTTGTGTTTAACACATTAACAAAATATTCTTACATTAAGCTGCAATAGTTATACAGGGTGAGTAACCAGATTTTTCAACAAAATTAAGCACTTTTTAAGCACTTAAAAAATATTTTTAATCACTTTCCAAAAAAAAAATTATATAATTAGAATATATGCAGCAATTAAATTTTTTTCCATTGTTTAAAGATCTTAATTTATAAACATAAAATTAACAAAATGCAAAAACATTTTCAAAAACTTTACATAATCAAGATAAAATAACTAGTTTTTGATAAATATTGCAGAGAAAATTGTGAAAATCATGTTTTTTTTTCATTTATGACAACAATCGACACGACTAAGAAAGAACCTCTTTCTGAGATTGAAAATTAAGCACTTTTTACAAACCACAAATAAAAAAAAGGACCTTTAAGCGCTTTTAAAAAATATAAATAAAAAATAAGCACCATTAAGCACTTTTTAAAAACGCTAAGCACCTTGTTATATATTTTAAAAACGAAAGCATTATAGTGGAAACAAGGATGAAAGAGAAGCAATTTCGGAGGTTGGTGAGCAAAGTGAGCAGGGGGTGGAGCTAGGCTAATATGCTAGGCTGATTGGAAGAGTCTCCAGTATTTTTTATCTAATATTTTTAGGCTAACTACAATCATCCAATATATATATATTTTTTTTTGCTAATCGAGAAATGGGCGAATTGCAATAAACCTTTATTAAGACTATTTATAATGATTCTTTACTAATCTAGGCTTATTGTGAGCTGCCTGAACTTCTAAAACAACTGCATGAATAGAAAATATTGAAAAATTTTCCAATCAGCCTGGGACATTACAGAAAGATAGTTGTTATTCATAAACATCTGGATAATACAATTAGCCTACGACATATAGTCAATGAAGACATTTGAAAGCGGTAGTAGGTTAAATTACATTTTCAATTTTCATAATTTCAACTTACAATTTAAAACCTATATTGAGGTAGTTTTCATTACATTTAGTTTTCCTCTCAAAATTATTATGCAACTGTCTTATACATCATAACAAGTATAAATTTATGTAAAAAATCAACCTTATCTTACGAATTTGGAACCTCTTCTAATAAATTTTCAAGTAAATTCTATACATTTGCCAAAAGTTTATAAACTTATTATGTGTCTAAGTAAAAATTATATTAGTGCCCCTTTTTAGCCCTCATCATATCAAGTATTACCTAATATGCACTATTTGTTTTTACAATTTAGACTAAAATTAAGCAGCCTCAGTAGATTAACTTAGGTTTAATTAATTAATTTATACAATTTTAGCAACATAATAGGATGATTTGCTCAAACACACTAACTAAAGACAATTATAAAAAATTCTCAAATTTTACTTGATAATTTTTACATTAAAACCATACATTTAAGTTTACAAACAAATGATCAGTAATGAAAAAACTTTATAAATAAAAATTTTGAGACAGTTTTAATTAGTAATTAATTCCATGTAAAAATGTAATTACTGTCCCCTCACTCAACGCTTTAAAAACACATCAATAAATAACTAAGTAAACGAAGGTAAATATTTTAAATCATATTTCATTGAAAATTCAAATCATATTTTTTGGGGAAAATAGGTTATATTTGAAATTAGGAAGAAATATTAAGCATTTTCATAAGACTTTTTACTTTTCCATTGTATAAATATCTTTCTATCACTTATTTTTAAATTATCTTCAATAAGTGGTTTTGTTAGCAAATACATAATTTAAAACCAGAATCCTTGTTTCTTCTTTTAAAATGTGATTTTGTGTATGGGGACAGTAATGAAAATTAACTGAAAAAACACATTTTTTTTTTTTTTGGTTTTAAGATGTATTTTTATCTTAACAATACCATTTGCCACTGGCAGAATTTTTTGGGGCTTTTTCGACAAATCTCTCTAGCACTAATATCTTACAGCAAGATACTATTAATAATAATTAATATGCATGTTATTCATTAAATTTTAAAATTCAAAGTAACAGAGACGTTGTATTTACAAAAAAAGTCTATCTGGATATAATTGTGGGTATTTTTTTTAAAAGATTATGCAATATTTTTTTATTCTAATATCATGGGCAATATTCTCCTATTTTGTAAGAGGGAACACACTAATTATTTCTTTCTTCGCATTTCGTAAGTCATCATCGCATAAAAAAATTAATAAATAAAAAAATTAAAAATCCGTGAAATAAAAAAATTTAAAAAAAAAAAAAAATTTATTTTTTATTTTTCCCAAATAAGAATTTACAAAATCACGGGCATTTCTTTCCCTCTGATGCGTGAAAAAGGCATCTATTGAATATAATTGTGGAGGAAAAATATTTTTTAAACATTTCTATCCCCTCCGATGCATGAAAAATGCATTTTTTAAATATAATTTAAGAGAAAAAAAATTTCGAAAATTTTTGCAGAAAAGAAAACTTTCTTTTTACTTTCTGAAGGAAAAATTTTTCTGCAAGAACTCTGTAACGTTCTGCGACAATGTCACCGTGATTCTGCCAGGGGGCCATTTGCCCTTTAATAATTCAAGAACATGACAAATATTGTTTTGAAATATTATTTATATGTTTCCTCTAAATTGTTCATAATTTAAAAATGGGTGAAAATTGGCTTCAGTGGCATTTAAAATGTCACATTTTCTTTTTTGTAAACCATGTGCCAGCTACCAATGAAACTTCTTCTCTAAACAGTCCAGTAAAATTTAAGTTAGCTTTTTACGCTGCTAGAAATTTTATTTTGACCATTTAATCATCTATATTTAAACAATTCATCTAAAATTAAAAAATATCAATGAGCAATTAAAACTGAAACTACAAATTCTAAAATACATTTAAAAAAAAAATTTTTTTTAATTATAACCAATCATTAAGTAACCAGTCTTATTTATACAGAAATTTTTTTAATAAACACTGGCAAAAAATCAAAATTACAAAATTTAGATAATAATGTTGTTAAAATTAAAACTTAAAGCAATCATGCAAAGATTTTCAATTCTTAATAAGAGTAAAAAATGAAACCAAAAATGTCAACTAAAATTCCATACAAATATATAAAAATAAAAATGCAGTTAACATTTGAGAGAAAAATTCATTTTAAATTTTACTTTGAAAAGTTAACGTTTTAATTTCATAAATCAAACTGCAGTTGAATAAAAAAAAATACATTCATAACTATTTAAACACTTGTTAGTAAATTTTAACTTTTTTTCAAAACAAAGTTCCTATTTTCAGATTATAACGTTCTTTTACTATTGTTTGAATTCTAAAAAAATAGAAACTAAATATGTAATCAAACACAACCAAATGAATCAAACATATTAAAAGTTTTCCCCAATAGTAAAGTAATTGTACACTCTTTGGTAATTACTGTCCCCTTTAAAAGCATTTCAGGTAGGGACAGTTATTATTACAAAATGATAGTTTTTGTCAAATAGATGAAAAACTGTTACATTTCTTTAGTTAAACTATCCATATTTCATAAAAGTAAGTTAGTACGTTTCATACAAATCAAACATTTCTACTTGTTTGCAATTTCTGTAATAAAAATTTGGGGGCAAAACATTCAATAAAGTTACCCAAAGATTTTTTAAGGTACAATTATGCTTATTGACCCTATAAGAAATGGCACTGGTGCAAAATTACAATTTTACTGTTCTGTAGTGAAGAGTGTGTTTTATAAAATGGAAGTTATATTTCATTCGATTAGAGCTTTCTATAGTGTTTTATTGGCATTTTTCATACTTGTGACAATTATTACAAAGAAATGGGGACCACATACAAATTATTCTAAGATAATAAATATTCAAGTAAACATAGTATATCAGAATATGTATAAATTTATCTCTGTCACATTTTCATAGCATAGTAAATTACTTAAAAAATTCAAAAATGTTTGTTGGGGACATGAGACAGTAATTACATTTTACCTGAATTTTATAATTATATGCCTACAATTGTAATATTCAATTATAAATATTCAAGTAGACATTCCTACTATATCAGAATATGTTACATATTCTGATAATAGAATAGATTTTACGAGCGACATTTTTTAGGCTACGAGTAAAGTTTTGATAGATCATGCATAATCATGTAAGTCAAAAAGAGAAATTCAAAACTGGAAATAATATAAGCACTTAGTGTAGTAAAAAATGTGCATACAAATCTTAATCTATAGAAGATTTTTTTAAACCATTATTTATAATTACTTAAACTATTTTATATCCGTTGTTGAACAACCAACCCAATTTTGGGTTTACAACTAATAATGTTCAACTCCGTAGCAATTTTGAACCAATCCAAAAGACAAGGAAACTCCTGGATCAGTATCCCCAGAGGTATGATTTGTTATGGGAACATGGAGGACTTTGTTACTCGACAGATTTAATGTGCATCAGTCACCATTTATTACACGGGGAGTCTTCAACATAATGCAGTACTGACAATAGCACTATCTGTTGAGGAGTAAGAGAAATATTTTTTCCATCAGCGAATATTTTATTGACAAAAAAAATTTTTTTTTTAGTTTCTTCAATAAATACAGAGAAATTTGAGATAATACAGGTAAACAGAAGATAGTCGAAAAATACAGGAGTCTTCGTTAAAAAAAAAGGACACTTGGGAGGTATGTATGTACGAATTTATCTCTGTCACATTTTTATAATATAGTAAATTACTTAAAAAATTCAAAAATGTTTGCTGGGGACATTAATGACAGTTTACCTAAATTTATTTTTTTAAAACATTATTTAAGTGCAAAATGAGTATGATGCACATTTTTTATAACTCTTCTCGAATAATTTAAGCAAAACGTACCATTAAATAAAGAAAATAAATATTTTAACAAGTAACAGTGCTTAAGGAGGCAAAAATTAATAGATTGAGAAAATAACTTATCCTAATAATAAGAATCTAATAATGTTGCAAAAGAACAATAAATAGCAGTTACTTAATAAATAGTTCAAAAGTAGAAATAAAAAGTTACTTTATAAGGAAAAAACTGATCTCCGCTATTCTTTCCAAGCCCAAGACAATCGCTCCTATTCTTTCCCCACATAAACAAATGGTGATGATCTAAACATATAAGAAAAAGATTATCAACTTGCAATATTAGTACAGTTAAACCTCCAAGAAAGACCATCTGCATTTACGACCCTTTTTGGGATGCAAGAATTTTTTCCGTAAACTTTGTGTTGAAGAAAAACTTTAGGAGAGACTATTAAAACCTCTCCCAACGAGCGGGCAAACATCTAAGTCAAATGTGGAAAAAGTCAAATAAGAAGACATTAAAAAATATCAAAACAAAAAATAAGTAGATTAAAATCTATTCAAAATACTTGAGTGAGACTCTAATTTAGAGAGCTCTTTTTGACGATACAACCTCACGTTGCAGTCAGAATGCACTAAAGACGATGATATCAATGATTTACTTTCAGAGTTGAAAGTTTAATAAGAAAAGAAAAAAACATCTTCTCATCTTTTAAAGTTAACTAATTTTTAAGATATAAAACTAACTTCAACAAAAAACATAATTATTTATTAATTTAAAATAACTTTATCATTCATAATTGGTAAATTTGTTTTTACACATAATTATATCAGTTGGGATCATTTTTATAAATGCTAGATTTTATTCATAGATCTGTCTTTTCATGACGCTAACAGAAGTGGCATCAGCACCAAGAAAATGACACTGACTTTAAATAAAATCGTTTGCAAAAAATCGTGCGCTTTTCATAACAATTTTGATGTCAATAGAGGTTACCTTTAAGAATGACCAACCTCCATCAACGACTATTTTACTGTGGAACGGAGAGTGGTCATTCACAAAAAATTTTACTGTATTTAAATATTATTTTTTTTTTTATTAGTAACCCTGAAATAAACAATTATACAACATGCAAAAGGTTACTGCGGATTAAATATATAAGGATTAGGTTTAATTATCACTAATTTGCTTTTAATGGTATAAGGTTTATCTAGATTATTTAGATTCTAGATTATTTATTTTATAGATTATACATTTTCTCGCCTTTCAGTTTCTGATAATCACAAATTAAAATGATGCTGTAAAAAAATTACTTCTGACAATTCTTAAACAATCTGCCAAATAAAAGTGAATTTATTTTCCAAGTGTAAAACAAATATTTTGTTCACAATTAAATGAAGACAAAGTTCCAATCTAAAATAATAAGCTCCTTCAATTGCTAATTTACGTAGAAAGATGCGCACATTTTAACATGAACAGAAGTAAATAAGATACATAATTTTGAAAAACAGGATTGGCAGAAAAAATTTATATGAATATCGCAAAATCAATAATTAAAGCAGGGTTGGCAACAATCATAATTTGGTTAAGAATATAAAAATAAAAATCGAAATTTTCTTGTTTGAATTATACTTTTTTATTAAATCAAAGCTCTGATAAAATGAATTAATAATGCTTAGTATTATTTAAAAACAATATTATTACTAAAATGCTTAAAATTATATGTATTATAATTATTAAAAACTTATCCCTGAATAAATACAATCTAAGCTATTTTCATTCAAGCACAAAACCCTTAGGCTTTATTTGCCAGTTAAATTAAAAAAATTAAGAATAAAATAATTTAGATGAGGGAACATAAAAAAATCATTTACTCTAAAATACTCTTCTCAAAATTAGTATTTTTTTATTATTTATTTACACAAACTACATGCTTAATAAGCTTAAAAAAACATATATTTAAATAAACATAAAACTAAATGGGTATGATGGAAGAATGTTTATAAGACTGCTAATTATTTTACAAGCTAAAATTATGAAAACTTACAATTTAAAAGTTTTACATCACTTTTATACACGTTTAATCTCCTTATTTATAAGTCTGCTTTGAACATTTAACTATAATTTACATACATAATAATTACCTACTCATGCATAATTCTCTACAAAAAAAATTCAATGTCATTGATTTTAGAATTTTAAAAAAATATATAAGAGAATTACAAAAATTACATATAATATTAAATTGTATTTTTAAAAATTAAAAGATATTCTAAATTTAAATTGAGAATTTGCTTTTAAAAAAAGTAATTTAAATAAAAGATTTTTTTTTTTTTTGGAAATTCAAGAAATTTAAACCACAATTTAAATCATAATTTAACACTTTCTGGACAGTGATCACATCAACATGATCATGATCTTGATTCCTTCAAGTCCCATGGAAACACACATTTTCAATTTTAGTGGCCCAAGAGCACATAGACATGATCTTAATATGGTACATTGAATTACATCTTGTAATTGNTCTCTACAAAAAAAATTCTATGTTATTGATTTTAGAATTTTAAAAATATATATAAGAGAATTACATAAATTACATATAATATTAAATTGTATTTTTAAAAATTAAAAGATATTTTAAATTTAAATTGAGAATTTGCTTTTAAAAAAAGTAATTTAAATAAAAAAAAAAATTTTTTTTTAAAAATTTAAAANTTTAAATAAAAAAAAAAATTTTTTTTTTTTTTTTTTGGAAATTCAAGAGATTTAAACCACATTTTAAATTTTACACTTTCATGACAGTGATCACATTAACATGATCATGATCTTGATTCCTTCAAGTCCCATGGAAACACACATTTTCAATTTTAGTGGCCCAAGAGCACATAGACATGATCTTAATATGGTACATTGAATTACATCTTGTAATTGTGTACAAACTTAAAACGTGCGGGTCTCTGGGCAAGCGCTTCTTTTCCTAGTCCTGACGGGGATAAATCAAATGATTAAAACTGTAAGTTTAAAGCATGTTAATAATTAAAATCAAATAAACAATGTTAACTAATAGTAACAAACAATCTTCACAAACTTGTAAGAGCAGCAAAATGATTCAGCCCACAAACAATCTGCTTCACTTTCACATCGGAGTTGAATTCATTTGCACCAAACAATGGTTGAGGTAGCAAAGTTGGAATCTTTGACGAAGAGACATTTGGACCTTGTCCCAAAATGCCGTAACCCCAAACATGGACATTTCCTTTCTCTAAATAAATCAAACATAATGACATGTTACTGATTGATTAGAACAGGGATGGGCAAACTTTTTTGGTCGAGGGGCCAAAAATCAAGAAAAAATTTTTGGTGGGCCAAGTAAAAACTTCAAAATTTAAGAAAAAAAGGGTGATATGCAAGTTTTAATTTAAATATTTAGTAAGATGAAGGAAATTGCAATTTCATTTTTAAAAGTTCCTTACAATAAGGTTGGAAGTGAGATGTGCTTATTTTAAGGAACAAAGCTAAATGCTTTGCTGTTAGTTTACTTCTGAAATGATTTTTTCTAAGGTTCATAGTTGAAAACTCTTGCTCACATATATAAGATTAAGCAAACATGCACTGATTTTCTGAGCATGAAATATTAAATTTCGGAAACTAGCTTTTGGTAATGATTTGTAAAACTTTGGAATATTTAGAAACGACTGCTTCAAATGATTGTTAGATTGTCCGCTCTTTGGAGCGTAAAATGCGCAGTCTGCCAAATGTGAAGTGCAATTTACCTATATTAGATTCCATAAGTCAGCTCCTCGAGAGAGACAAGCGCTAGTTGGAGCCAATCTATGGCTATTCAATAAAGAACTTCTGCTTTCAACATTTTACCAATTGAATTCCATCAATTTATGTTTTGTAGAACAAAAATAGAGAAAGCAAAAACTTCATCAGTACTTTGTTGAAAAAGGAAAAACAGAAATAATTTTAAACATAGTCGACAAGAAAATGGATGTATATTATTTATATTTGCCACTGATCGGCAAATAAAAATTCTATCCGCGGGCCGGATAAAATCTTCCAGAGGGCCACAGTTGGCCCGCGGGCCATAGTTTGCCCATCCCTGGATTAGAAGATCGGAATGGATTATCCTATTGCAGGGTTTACACAGTAAAAAATTAACATAATAGTTGCTTTTAGTAACCTAAAGCATGAAAATAATTGACAAAAACTATGAAAATAGTTGCCTAAATAAGAACAAAAATTACTCAAAAATATGACTAAATTTTATTAAATTACTTTATCGTTATATACTATGATCCATTTAGTCAAGTTGGTGGCAAATATGATAGTTTTTATATAAACGTTAGTGTTCCAGCACTAATTTTTTAAATAAAAAAAATTTGTATATTTGCAGAAAATTAAATATTTTTAATGACTAGAGTTTATTAAAAAAAAATACTTTTCTATTAAAAGAATACATACCTTTTCTAAAAAAATTTCAGTTTAATTAATAATTGATTTAGAAAATATATGTATGCATATATATATTGTAAAAAGGTACTACAACTCAAATTATTGCAATATTACGTAATATCGTATTAGAAATTGGGTTTCTTAAAATCATGCGCAACTTTGTAGCAATAACCATTGAGAAGATGATAGGGAAACGAAATAAACTTACAATGCAATCTGTGCAAATTGAACGAATTAATAAGTCATGACTCAAACTTGCAATTCAAAATTCTCAAAACTTTTTATTTTTGAAGAAAAAAAATACAGTGTGTTCAGAAGCTCCCACAGGCTGCAGGTTTTCAACTTAAATTATGATTAAAAAAACATCGCTAGAACAGAAAAGTCTCCCAATAGTCGCTTACCAGGCAACGCCAAATAAGAAACAATTCCGGCACCTTCCATAACGAAAGAACAATAAGTTCAGTGCCTGCAGTTTAAAAAAATTTGCATACTATTTTTTAAATTTTAGAGTCAAATTGGTCAACTCCAAAAAATTTTGCATCTCTCTGGTCCAGTATTTTTATAAGCTAACTGAAATGAGTTAGAATAAAAAAAGTAATTTTATCTGAAAATTTAAAATGACACATACTTTTTTTAAGACTATGAAACTTATAAAAATAAACCATTTTAATTTTAAAAAAATTATTGGAATCATAATTTTTTTTCTTAAAATTTATTTATAAGAAAAATTTCACTTGTAGACAAAAATTTCCAACAAAAAATTTTTAGCAAAATTTCACATAGGAATATTAGTGATGGGGAGAAGGAATTTTAATATCACAAAGATAACATCTGATCAATGTTTTAGAAAATATTGTGATAGTTTATGCTTTTAATTAAATTGTTTCATTTTTATGTTAATCAATACCTCCATTTACCCAAACGAAATTTATCAAAATGCGATATTCATATTGGAATGAATTCAATAATTAAATTACAGGAACTGGAAATCATCATAATGATAATACTTGTGACATAATTGTAATTGATATTAATCATTATAGACAATAACCACAATATTATCACAGGCAATTGTCAAACACTAAATCACAATTATCACACTGGATATTGATCGTAAGACATTTTATTCAGGATGTATTGTGAAAACCCTTTTCAAAATATTAATGTAATATTTGAAAAATATTGTTATTTCACAACATATTATCAACTTCAAATAAACACACAATACTTATTTTTTATTTTATATTATCACCGCTGTTGAACAACTGACTCAATTCTTTGGGTTTATGCCTACTAATGTTCCAACTCTGAAGCCTTGTAATTTTGAGCTCAATCCAGAAGACAAGAGAACTCGTAGATATCAAGCATTGGGAGAAATTTGCCTTCTAGGATGACTTTCTGATGGAACTAACCTGCATTTGCGTTACAAGGCAAGGAAAACCACGAAAACATCCCACGGTTAATTTGACGGCAAGGAGACTTTAACCCATGCTCTGTCTACCACTGAGGATATTTTATGTCAGCACTGTGGTCGGTGCAAACGGGATGTGGAATTCATATTGACCAGCCATCGCTGGAATTCGAACCTGGTTCCCCTCATTGGAAGGCCAACGCTCTATTCCTTGAGCCATCACGGCTCTACACAATCCTTAGTCAGGGTGCATAGCCAAATCTTTCCACAAAAAATAACCACCTTTAAAGTACTTTTTAAGCACTCAAAAATATTTTCAAGCACTATATACATTAACAATGTACAAAATAATTTTCTTAGACTTTAAATGATTATAATAAAATAACTAGTTTCTGGCAAATAACTCTTTTCTTGATTATGTTAGCCATTATAAAATGATCAAGAGATTTTTCGGTTCAATATCAGAGAGTGGAAAATAAAGTCTGAAATTGAGAATATCTTGCAAAATGCAGCAGAGTTGCACATGAGAGTGCAATAATCTCACTGAACTCAGCTCAGTCAATGCACATACGGAGTCGCAAGTATTTCATCAAAAATGCAAAATGATTGACGCTTTCCTACGCTACGGACCGATGGTACTGGTGAATAGATTGTAGTTCAATGAATTGTGAAAACGTTGAATAGAGCAATGTGAAAAGCATGCTTTTTCATAATACTTGGCGAAAATCGACATGGTAAAGAAAAAAAATCTCATTTTCGAAAAGAGAAAATTAAGTACTTTTTAAAGCCACCTAATGAAAAAAGCTCCTTAAAGGGCTTTTAAATAACGAAAATCAAAAATAAGCACCTTTAAGCACTTTTTACAAATGCTACGCACAATGTTAGTGTTATAAATTGCGATAAGGGATTTCAAAATTTTTTTTTAATAATTACCATTCACAACAGCACATATAGTCCCGCCTGATGCAACTTGAGTAATTTTGCCCAGATTTAGATTCAGGTAAGTAGGAACATTTATCTGGAAGGGAAAAAACAAACAAACCCAATTAATAGTGAACATAGCAACGCCAATTTTTTTTTTAAAGTATCCTTTAAAGAAAGAATATAATAAAAACAAATACTAATTCAACTGATAACAAAATTCATTTAGATATTTTAAAATCATTCTTTAGAACTAATTAGGCACACATAACATAAATGTTATTGTAGATCGCTGAAGTTTCTTTTTGCTCACAATTACTGGTAAAAATATGAAGTAACTGCAAGTATCAGAAATGTTGCATTCTAATTACAGAGGTAAGAAAAAAATTCAAATAAAATTTTTACTTCAGTTATTTACTGCCTTCAGTGAAAGTGTGATCTTATCACATGCATAACTAATACATACATTAAAATAATTCCTAGGTGCAGTATAAATCAGGGAATCAATCAGAGTAATCGATAAGAAAATAAATAAATGAATTGGTAAACTCTAATTAGTGAATGAGAGGGGCGTAGGACAACAAATCAAAGAATAAGAATCAACTACTGTATATTATGACTGAACGATACCATACTGAATGTAGGTCCAGAATTTTAAAAAATGTTCAAAGATAAAGTGGAGTTTTGTTTATAATCGAATCCACAAAATTTGCAAAATCACACACGAACATCACCAACAAAAATACTTTTCCATCCAAATCAAATTGAATGTACAAAAATATATAAATATATAAAGCGAAATTCCTTAAAATGATAAAAGAAAAGGATAATTTTTTTAAAATTAGAATTGCTTTTACACGTTTATTTTTTCTCATAAAACAGCAAACAGTAAAAGTAAAAAATTATAGCTTCAGAATTCAGATAGCTTTTACTATTGGGATCTGAGTTACTTAATCTTTTTGCAAACGATGATGCCACTATAAGTTAGCTTACGAGGACACCATACCTCAGAAGAAAATTTTTGTAGTAAATTTTCTTACTCCTTTATTACTAATTTAAAAGAAAGAAAAAGTAAGTTCAGGCAAACCTAGAATAAGTCATGAAGTTTCAATCGCTGAAAAAAAATACTTCAGAATATTAAAATGCAAACAAATTATTAGAATTGTATTTTTTGTTGCCTAATCCTAAGTTATCATCTCCAATAGAGTCATTTATTTTCATTTGTATATTTTGAAATTTTCGATTTATTATTTGAAAATTTATGGACTTACTCTAGGTTTGTCTGAACTAACTTTTTCTACACTTTAAATTTTAAATTAATAATGAAAGAGAATTTCCGACGAAAATTTTCTTCTGAGGTATGGCTTCCTCTTAAGGAGACGAGGAAAATTAAAACTAGGAGGAAAAGAATCAGTAATACTATCAATGATCTTCTTATTTTTGAACAGAGGCAAACAAAAGAATTAAGATGGCTGGTTTGACCAAAAGAAAAGGGAGGTGAAAGTTACCACAAAGATAACATGTAATTTTTTTTACGTCGGCTTACATGTTTTGAACTCTGTATGAATTTTCCAAGAAAAAGCATACTCTCAGCTTATACACAATTAGGTTTACATTCAGAAATATACTGCACCTTGTTGATTTATGAATTCTTGTATTCAAAGAACATTGAACAACTGACTGATTCATAGAAGATTAAATAACTGATTTAACTCATTAGTTTGCTGATTTGTCTTTCAGTTCATTCATTGAATTGATTATCCTATAATAGATTAGTTTTTTCTCACAGTTTGTTATTCTTTGATTTATTAATTGATTCTTTTGATGTTTTGTTAAATCACTTTCATTGATCATGTTATTTATTTATAATTTTCATTCTATTAACTTCTTGCTTGATTCAACAAGTGGACCAGAATGACAGACTCCAACATGATAAATGCTTTAAGCACTCTTAGATTTATTTAGAATGAGATTTTTTTTACAGCTGTCAAAAAAAATAACTAGCAAAAATTTAACAAGAAAATCAAAACCATTTGGTAAAAATAGTAATATACCGAATACATAATACACTACTCAAAGAAAAAAAATAAATCTCAATCACAGTGTTTTACTAACGCTTACTTATGGATCAAAGATTTGTAATCTCACTACCAAATTAATAAAAAGGTTAATAAAAACAAAATGTATAATTAGAAGCTTGGTCAGAATTACCAAAAAGTCAAGAGAGTGAGAACCATGCATAATACAGCAAATGACACTGAGAGAATGAAACATTTAAAGTGTGTTGGCCTAATAGTTTGGAGAATCGCTGAAACTAAATCTTGTGGAATCAAATAACCAAGAAAACAAGGTTAGAAAAGCTGTAGGTGTAAATGGGATACCTGCAAGTGACGTAGTGTGGGTATCTCAATCCTGATTGGTTGTTGAAATGTAGTATTAGTTTACATTAGCAACTGTTCTTTCCTTTCGACTTCTAGTAGGTCAAACCTTTTAGGTACCAATTCTCTTAAGTAACACAGCTTATATTCTTTCACAAAGATTTCAATTCTATAACTATAAATTTACACAAAGACAGGCAGGAAGTCATGTAGAACATAAACTTATTATGCATCGAAGTTGCCAGGTACACAAAACAAAAATATATATCACGGTTACAATAAAATATATAAACAAATAATAAATAAAAGAATAAACAAAAAAGAAGTAAAAGAAGTAGACTAGAAAGAATTATTTTTCAAAAAATTTTATGTGCTATGCGGCTCTGTATTCAATTAACTTAATGTTAATTAACATTTTAAATAAGTATGTAGAGAAACTTAGCTCAACTTTAATACTCCGTATTGCTGATAAAGATTAGCTAGTCATAGGTCACATGGTTGCCTTCTTTTTCTTGGAGTGCAAGTACCCAATTGAAAGGCAAGGGCTAAATATTGGAAAAAGTTTGGAGTCGACTCAACTTTAATTTAAAAATATTGAAGATGATGACAATACATGAAAATCAATTTTTAAATACAATATAGATTAGCATATAAAAATATCTAATGCAATTTAAAACAGAAAAAAAAAGGCTATGATACATTTTTTTTAATTAAATATGCATATTTTTTCAGAAAATTTTAGTTCAAACCTGTTGTTTTTCAGTAGCTAAATTTAACTGTCGATATTCAGAATTTCCCCATCCAAAGACATCTCCTTTACCTGGAATCAGAAAAGAAAAAAAAAGGAAATAAAGAACAAAAAATTGTTAAATAAAGAAACAGAAAGAACTGTGGCTTTGAACTGTTGTGTAAAAATAACTGGTATAATAAAACAATAATGTATATTTAATAATACAAGAAAAATCCCAAAAATTTATTTCTCATTATAGGTTTTTAGCAAGTTCTGTATTCCAAGTAAACCTGGAATTAAAAAAGATGGGAAAAAAGAAAGAACAACATACTGTACATAAAGAAACAGAAAGAACTGTAGTAAAAATAACTGGCATAATAAAATAATAATGTATTTTGAATAATACAAGAAAAATCCTAAAAATTTATTTCTCATTATAGGTTTTTAGCAAGTTCTGTATTCCAGGTAAACCTGGAATTAAAAAAGAACGAAAAAAAGAAAGAACAACACACTGTACATGAAGAAACAGAAAGAACTGTAGTTTTGAACTGTTGTGTAAAAATAACTGGTATAGTAAAATAATAATGCATATTGAACAATACACGAAAAATCCTAAAAATTTATTTCTCATTACAAATTTTTAGCAAGTTATGTATTCCAAGCATATGTTAATAGATAAATACTGAATCAGTAATAAAAACAATACTGTTTTAAATTATTACAACAAAATAAATTTCAAATTAGTCAAATTTTACTGGATAGTTTATTAGCATTTAAAAATATTTAGAAAAGCAAATTTCAATTAATTGGATTAAAGTGTTGCTTTGAGTTTGATAATAGAAGTAGAATAGAAGTCATACTTGAAACTGCTAAAACACAATCAGCTGCACAGGAGAGCTGTACTATTTTTTCCCCCTCAATATCTCCTTTCAACATGGCGGGAGTGAATTGGTTGTTATAATTACCCAGACCTTAAATAAAACATTTAAACAATATTTACAATACAAGTGTGACAATAATTACAAAAAACACCATTAATAGTGATTTTTATAAACACAAACTTAGATGAGGCCAATAGGCAGTATCATAGATTTTTAAAAATGAAAATTTAAAAATAGGACTTCTCTATAACTTCAATGCTTAGAAACTAATCAGCTGATATTTTCCAAATTCTGAATATTGTCAATAAAAATTATTACTTTAAAATGACTTAGTTTATATTGAGGTAAAAAAATTACAAGCCTCACAATTTTATTTTTTTGGCCATTATTAAATTAAACAATAAAAAAATAATTATTAAGTTAATCATTTATAAAAATATTTTTTTTACATGGAATTATCTTAGAATAAATAAAAATTTCCAGCTATGAGCAGATAGTTTGAAGATGATAAATTAATATGGGCATAATTTGATGAAATGTGCAAAAAGTAAAATCAATATTAAACCACTGGTTGGTTTAGCAAATGGGCAAAATTGAGAGAATGTTTGTCCCCTATACAATATTTTCTTATCTATTAACATGCAAAAACCAGTTTGCTTTGCGGAGAAGACTGCAGGTTAAAGTGTGACTTTTTACGCACAGAACCGTCAGTGGGTTAATGGATATAAACATGCTCCCCTGTCAAAACTATTGGAATAATATTTTTCACATATTTTAAGGGTCAAGAATTCAAATCTGTTGGAAAAAGAAGATTTGTTTACCCAGATAAAGTTTGTTTTTGCATAATATTTCATAATTTTAAATTTTGTCTGCACTGATCAACTAACATATTTAATGTCAGGCCCTTGAATCACTAAGATAAGATTTAACTAAATGAAAATCAGAACACTTATTTGAAAGTTATTAAACGATTCTATTTTTTATTTTGACACTGTACAAATCTGCTGGGGAGAAAAAAAAGACCTGTTTACCCAGAGAAAGTTTGTTTTGCATAATATTTCATAATTTTAAATTTTGTCTGCACTGATCAATTAACATATTTAATGTCAAGCCCACGACTCACTAAGAAAAGATCTAACTAAATGAAAATCAGTACACTTCTTCAAAAGTCATTAAACGATTCTATCTTTTATTTTGATACTGTACAAATCTGTTGGGGAAAAAAAAAAGATTTTTTAACCCAGAGAAAGTTTGTTTTGCATAATATTTTATAATTTTAAATTTTGTCTGCACTAATCAATAAACATATTTAAGGTTAGGCCCTCGAATCCCTAAGATCTAACTAACACTTATTCAAAAGTTATTCCGCTATTCTATATTTTTTATTTTGACACTGTACATAAATATTATTAGTGTAATCATAGGTGAAAAAAGTGCTATTTAAAATGAGTTTTTACCGGTTTGGCCGTCAGCACCCCAACCAAAACTGTACACTTTTCCAGAAGTTGACAGAAGTAGTGTGTGATCCTGACCACATACAACCTATAAAAAAAAAAAAAATAGTTAGCTTTTTTTAAAAAACAAGAGAGAAATGTCTTACAATAACATGAACCTAATGGGCAATAAGATTTAAGTAATTTTTTTTCTTCAGTGAAAATATTTTTAAAGCATATTTTATTATAATAAAATATCACAAAAGTTAGAATGAAATTTTTTAGAGCATCAAAACAAATTATTGGATTATATGCAGTGTTTAATAACACAAAAGCTAGGCTTATAATAGCATGCAATACTGAGCCAAACTCAAAAGACATTAATACTGAAAGTTTTGTTTCATTTTATAACCGCCATTGAACTGCCGACCCAATTTTTTTTTGGTTTATGACTATTAATGTTCAACTACGTAGCCTTGTAATTTTGAAACCAATCCAGAAGACAAGGGAACTCCTGGATCTAGTACTGTGAGAAATTTGCCTTTGTGGAGGATTTTTTTGATGAAACTAACCCGCATTTGCGTTACACAGAGAGAGAAACTACGACAACCTCCCACGGTTAGCCTGACTGCAAGGGGTCTCTAACACATGATTCGTCTACCACTAAGGATATTTTACGTTAGCACTGTGGTCAGTGCCAGCCAAATGCGGAACTCATATTGACCTTCATCGCTGCGATTCGAACATGGTTCACCTCATTGGAAGGTAAACGCTCTATCCCCTGAACCATCCTGGCTCATACTGAAAGTTTGAAAAATAAAGCAAGTAGTTTTATAAATTAAGACATAAAATCAAAATGTAAACAATTGAAGGATATAAAATAAAATAATAAGAAATGGTGATCAAAAATACTTTGTTCAAATACAGTAGGGAACCGATTATCCGGAACGATCGGGACCATCGCTATTCCGGCTAACTGATTTTTCCGGTTTTCTGAATAGCTACAAAAAGCCGTTTTTTTATTGTTAAACCCAACTAAAGAAAAAATATTTGGAAATAATCTTAAAAAGAAGAAAAATGATGAAGTAACACACTAATAATTATTTCCAAAATGATGGTAAGGTAAACATTTTTCAAAAAAGAAAGAAAAATCCTAAAATCTTAAGAGGAAAAAAAAAATTTTTTTTTTAAAATGGCGGGGAAATTTATCGAATTTCGTTTCGGTTTTCCGGTTTTCTGATTTCCGGATAACGGGTTCTGTACTGTATAATTATTGAAATATACAAAGCCAATCCAATATACAAGCTTCTGAAAAAAGTTAGTCCAAACAATTGCGACCAGTTCTTGATTGGTAAATTCCGGCTTCTTTTTTTACCGTAGTTATTACTTTAACTAGAAAAGAATCCTTTAAACACATAGGTATCATCTCCTTTACATCATTGACGGCTGGTTAAGACTTATTAATGGAATCGCTTTATGATTTGATTTTCATTTATTTCTGTTTTGATACATGCTTTGAAAAGAAAACTTGCATTATTTCTTTTTTTTTTTTTTGAATAATAGGTTTTATTTATACTGATGTTTTTATACAAATAATATATATGATATATACTGATGTTTTTATACAAATATTATAAGCTTCCTTTTATATTTTCATTAAAGCAATAGTATTGAAAAACTTACATAATGAATTTTGAATTTAGAGAATCAGAAAAATTAGATAAAATGGTTTAATTTATACACTGAAGAGGAAAAAATACTTCTGCTCTCCAATGACAGGTTATACTTAATTAAAAAGAAATAATTAAATAGTATAACACTTTTTAGGAGCATCAAAAAGCAAGTAAACATGTAAATTACTGTATTGTAATGACAAAGAAACATTAATTAAAATATTAGTAAATACATTTTTCTGAAGAAAAAAAAAATTTTTAATATCAAAAATATGACATTTAAGTATATTTTCAAGAATAAATAAAAATGCAAAACTTTTCAAATCAAGATTTTTGCACAAATAAATTCATTTGATGGTTNTTAAAATATTAGTAAATACATTTTTCTGAAGAAGAAAAAAAATTTTAATATCAAAAATATGACATTTAAGTATATTTTCAAGAATAAATAAAAATGCAAAACTTTTCAAATCAAGATTTTTGCACAAATAAATTCATTTGATGGTCTCATACTTAAAGTGCTAAAAAAAAATTTAAAAAAAAAAAATAAATAAAACCTTTTTTCTTGAAAAAAAAAAAGCTTTGATACCTTGATACGGCGGCAAATCCATTGTGTTCAATGCTGAAAAACTTAATAAATAGATTTTCTGCAGTTAATAAAAGCAAAACTTATTACATGTGAATTTTTTTCTATTTTTCACTGGCTTTTCATCTGTAACATATAACTTTTAAAAAATATTTTTATTCTTGTTGAATTTAGTTAAATGACTATTACACTGCAAATTTTGATTTTTAAATTTTTCTTTTTTCAAAAAAATTTTAATGTTCTAGTAAATTAGGTTAAAAATTTAAAATCTTTCGGTTTAATGATGTGAAAATATTTGTAATTTGATATGAATTATTAAACTTAATTCCATTTCCTTTAAAAAAATAAATAATATTTAATAAGCTATTAAGAAAATAATTTTAAATTCGTTTTTGCAATACTAATCATGAAATATAGTTTTTAGAGTTGTAACTCAATTAATAAAGGTTTTTTTCAAAATATCTGCAGTGTATGTAAACCATATGACTTTAATCCAGACATATCATTGTGAAGTGAGTTTTTTTCTTCTTTTTTTTTTCGGTAAAGCAAATGGTTCAGAAGTTTTCTTGTCTTCTGAGTCAAGTTCAAAGGCATCGAATCACATAGAGCAGGGCCATTATTTATATACATAAATTGACTGCTCACTGATGGTGATAAAATAAATTGTTAATAAATCCTCATTTATACGAACTTGATAGATCTTCAGGTGCAAAACACATTACTTCGAAACATTTATGACGATAACTGTGAAAAACGCCTTTACCCATGAAAAATATTGACAAAATGTAATTTAGTATGAGATTCTACAGCAAGATTTAAGTTGTTTAAAATACCAAATTTTCTACTTTCTAACTTTTGAAACTAAAATTGTTTTTTCTTAAATTGAAACTCTGTTGTGTCGAACTTTTTATTTTTTACATTTTGTTTTCACATCATTTTAATGCTCTATTGTCAAGAAAACATATAAGCCCAACCTGTGTCAAACCTACAAACTACTAAAAAGGTAAAATGTTTAGTCAGTTAAGAGTAAATTTGGTTCTTACACCAAAAAAAAACATTCAAAGTAACATTTAATTAAGTTTCAATGAAAACCTCATATACCTCAACAATGTCTTCATCAATTCCTTCAACTTTATGAACCTTTATTAGATCCTCCTTTCTTTCAGCTGTATTTGAAAGCACACCACACTGCCCATAAGTATTGTTTCCAAGACTGAAAACTTAAAAAACATTTGGCTATTATTTCTAACACCAAATCTAACATCTAAGAGTAATCAACAATATGTATGCATTTTGAATTTTCTATCAGTTACTTTTGTTTCATAGGAAACAGGTTCTGATTTGGTAAAAAAAAAAGATTTTTAAAAGTCTACAAAATAATATATAATAAAGAAATATTCATCAAAGTTTGAGATCCGTATTCTTTGCTTTAATCAATTTCTTTTTTAACTTTCAAAACCAGAATCCATTTCTACAATTACCTCCGATTTTTCATTCTTAATCACCATGTTCTCCATGGTACAATGATCAAAATTAAATTCGGCTCGTAATGTTTTCATCACCTTTGCCCCCAAGAACTTTAAAATTTCTCTTGAAATCATTTCTGATTTAGCTTTAATTGTGTATCAATAAATTTGTCATCAAGAATATTGTACTGTTTTACTATTAATGCTTGTGTTGGCTGAATATTTTTTGGGCTCTATAGTGCCTTCAAAAATAGCTGCTCATTTTGAAGACTAGTTAGACATTAATGAGAAATACAAAGAAGGTTCTAAACATTTTTGTTATAAAAAAAAAGGAAAATAGATAAAAATTTAAATTATAAACTTTTCTTCATCAATTTTACGTTTAATGTTATAAATCTCTTTTGTTTTCCTCATTAATGTCTGTTGTCTTGAGAATGGGTCTCTGTTTTGATATAGGAAGGATATAGGAAGTACTATAGGAAGGTATATAGGTAATGAGTCTGTAGTGTATCTACCAACAAAAAAATAGAATTCCAATTCACTAGTATATAAGACATGTTACCTAGATTCTATGTTGGTGTACCTTTTCATATATGAAGGTCATGAGTGCAAGTTGGAAAAAAGGCTAGGACTGAAAATTTTTTGACTGAAATACCAAACATACACAATACCCCCTCGACATATGCAAACTATCTAAGAAAGCTTTACCATANTCCTTGGTTTAAATACTGTACAAAAAATATTTATTCATGTCTTTTAATAAAATAACAACAGGACATAAGAAAGTAGACCAATAACGTAGACCTAAAAAATATTGTTAAGGACAGAAAAAAAAAATTCCGATTTCTGTCTTCGAGTCAGTCTTGTTTCCGTCTTACTTGCACCCGTGAACATTTTCGAAAGACGGAAATCCGTCCTGGGGACGGAAGACTTGCACCCATGATGAAGGTTGACATGGGTGATGTGACCCCCCCCCCTACACAAGTCCACTTTATCATAATTTCTTGAAGAAAATAAAGTTTTTACGTTATCAAGTATATATACATCCGCTTCAGTTTCCTGTGACTATTGATTTAGCACCTAATGATTCATGGAAATATACATATTCGAACTCCCAATAACAAAAAACTTTTTGCTTTTTAAATATTTAAAAAAAAATACAAATCAGGTGAAAAAACAAATTAAGAATTCAGATGAAATTCTTTAGATGATTATTTTACTTCCTGCAGAAGATACACAAGAGATTTTCTTCTGCATATACACTTTGCATACTACACAAGTTTTTTTCTAGTATATCAATCAACTGTTTTAACTAGTGCAAATCCCTCATACTCCTTGATTTTTCATACTTCTCTTAGCATTAGAAAACATGTTTATATAAGCAACATATTTCATCAAATTGTTGACATATTTTTTTATTATCAACATTTTCTTTGATAACATTAAGACAGTTAATTTACAATAATTTTCAACATTTTAAAAAAAAAAAACTTACTGCCTTCTTTATCTGTGAGCACAATCGTATGTGCCCTACCACAAGCAACTTTAATGGCTTTTGTATTTGAGTTATATAATGGCAATGCTATAGGGACAGGTTCACCAATTATCTCTAGAGGATGATCTGCAGAAAGGAAATTAGTTCTTACACAATAAAATTATATAATAACACTTTTAAAGAAACCAATTTGCATATATATATATGGGTCATTCTCACGAAAACTGTCATTTTTCAGTTCATAAAATCCCAAAAAAGTAAAGTGAATAAAAAGCTCTGAAACTTTTTATATTAATAGAAATATGTAATGGCATTATAAAGAAAGTATATATCCTATAAATTATACTTAATATTTAAATTAATTAATTTTTTAAATAATTAATTTATAATTANTATATATATATATATATATATATGACTGTTCTCCTAAGATTTTTTAGAACAGCAGCCTGCCCTGGTTGCTTTTTGATCCCTATAAATGTGCCTTTGTTGTAAAAATAAGCCACCGTCCCTTAAAAACACCACCTTTTTATTCATATTCCATTGCGAAAAAAATATGTTTAAATTTCAAATTTACATATTGTGCTGTGCTTTGCATTCATGTATTGACAGTATAATTGCTCATCAATAAAACAATATTTTTTGCCCTTTTAGAATTGATTTTATTTAAAATTTATAATTTTTAGATAATTAATTACTAATATAATACATTGTTAGCTATTACTTTCTCTATTTTCCTCATTTATTTATTTATTCAGTCTCAGCATTTTAGTTTTTATATTGTATTCATTTCAGTAAATACTTATCTTCAATCATTATAGTGTAATAAACTTAATTAATTTCAGAGTATTATGAATGATAATTAATAATTTTTAATATGCACTATAACATGAAATAGAAATATGTAAATGTAAGGTTCAATTTTTTCCCACAAGTTCGTCTACCATATTAAGTTTTTGGACAACTGAATAAAACATAGGTGGTGCTGTTGGACCACTAAATTTTCATTGCTGGTAAGCCCTATATAGTTATATATATTTCAGCAAAAATATGCACAAATTAAAATGGAAATTAGAAAGAAAGAAATTAGAAAGCTTATGAAAATTGATAGATCCAAGAATCAAAGATTAAACTATAATTTTGAAAGAGCTTTAACAAATATCTAAAAATATTCAAGTAAAACTTTTTGTGTTTTGTTGAAGAGGCTTACTTTAAAGTTTGTCCTGTTGCCTGTAAAACCTGTGTTCTACCTTGTAAAACACTAAAAAAAGTGCAAAAAAAGTTATTGATTCATTTACATCTTCCAAATTAATCTAACTGTAATCAATGAACTAATCAGTAAATTAATCAATTATTTTTTAAATTAAATAACTTAAAATTTATTTATTTTCTATTCATTTCATATTAATATGATTTGAAGAATTTATGTGATTATTTTGAGTTTATTCCCATTTTTCATTGAAAATACAAAATATTCGATAAAACAAAATATTCATTCAAAGTCAAAAAACAATTTTATAAAATTCGATTTTTGAATTTATTAAAGTATTAACAAAAATCTTAAATAATTTTAAATAAAAAGAAAGAAAAAACTATATTTGTCAATTTATATATCATTGTTATATTTTGATAATATTTTACCAATTCATACTTTTTCTTTTACAATGGTAGCCTATTTGAAAATCAGTATTAAGCCCTACACCAAAAAGTGAAAAATCATTTTCATCATTAGATGCTGCAAAAACTGTGAATCCATATCCACAAGCTATGTCTCTCACCTGAAACAAAAATAATCAATATATCAATTTAATGATAACAACAATTTAATTTTCCAAGTCACCAAATAATTAAAAAAAATAATAATGATGAAGATAACAAAACTAGATGTAGTTTAAAATTACATGAAATCCACATTTCAGTTACTTAAGTGAGTATCATATGAAAAATGGGTGGAATTGTAATTTATTAATGATATCCATAAAAAAAAATGAATATCATTTTACCGTACTTCCTTCTTACAATCTTAGGCATTAACATTTACAAAGTAAACATACATGATAAACCACCATGATCTTCAAAATAAATATTCTTCAGATAAAAAATATGCCGCACACTTTAAAAGAGAATGCCTTTTTACTGACCAGACCGTATTTACATTATTGAGAGTTAACTATTTTATTTTATAACCCTTGTTGAACAGCCGACCCAATTTTGGGTTTACGGCTACCAATATTCAACACCGTATCCTTGTAATTTTGAACCCAATCCAAAAGACAAGGAGACTCCTGGATCAAGTATCGGGAGAAATTTGCCTTTGTGGAGGAGTTTTCGATGGAACTGACCCGCATTTGCGTTACATGGAGAGGAAAACCACGAAAACCTAACACAGTTAGCCTGACAGCAAGGGGACTGTAATCCATAATCCGTCTACCACTGAGGATATTTTTACGTCAGCAGTGTTGTAGGTGCGAACCGGGCGCAGAACATGTGCTATATAGTCAGTATTGATTTGCTATATAGTCAATATAATTTTTAAACCAATAAATCTTTTGTAGATTTTTGTTTTTCAAAACAGAAAACAATAATAAATAAATAAATAACTTACATTTAATTTTACATTTATTAAGTATAGAATTTGACCATTAGTCAATACACTTTATTATTTTAAATAAATAAATAAAAGGTCTAACGATGTTACAAAAGCACATTTTTTTTTCAACAAATAATTTTAAAAATGTTTTACTAAATGAACATTTCTTTGGCTTGTTTTATACATTTTTTTCCTTTTAATTTTTAATGCATGTATGTAAAATATTTCGCTCAAGTTTTATTATTTTTTTTTAAACCAATAAATCTGAAGTCATTTTTAAATGAAAAAAACATTAAAATAAAGCTTGCATTTGTTTTTATTTTAAGACATCAGTCTTAAGTCAATCCATCTTTATTATTTTAACTGAAAGAATTAAGCAATGCTATTGATGTTATAGAAGCATTTTTTTAGAATTAACATTTTAGATTCTAATGAAAATTTTTTATTTCACTTATTTTTGTTTGATTTAAAGATTTCTTACAGATGATTTTCGAACATATGTTATATCGCGATGTCTAACAAGACTATATATCACAACAGGGCTCGAAAAAATTCAGAAATTTTACCCGTCCCCGAGGACGGCATGTCCAACAATGTACCTGTCCTCATTTGAAACTAACCCGTAGCTTCTAAATAAATAAAAACATGATTTTCTCCTATTTATTACAAATATTTATATTAATTGCACAATGAATTGGTAGTTACTAGGATTACATTATACAGTAATAAGAGAAATACTAGGTTACTAATAGTAACCTAGTATTAATAAATACTAGGTTACTAATAGTAACCTAGTATTTATTTCATGAAATAATTTAAATGACAAAAGTCAAGTTATCTGTCAAATGTCAAATGTCAATGTCAAATGTAAAGTCAAATGTCAATTTATCCGAGAGTACTACGTTTTTTTAAATGAATCAAATATGACGTTTGCCAGTTGCACAATCAAGCCAATGATTTACAGAGGTTTCTGCACAGAAATCTGAAAGGGGTTTTGCATTTAGGTACATGTTCATTATTGCGTTTAACGCTTCTTGTTTAAGACCGGTGCATAATGTGTTTTTTTGTAAGTTCATTGCTGATAAGCCCCTTTCAACCACTACAGTACTCCCAGACAGCGAAAACATCAATCCCACCATATGCAGTATGTTGCTGTATTTCTAGATTAGAGGGTAATTTTAGAAGTGAGGTGCTAGACTCTTGTAAGATAACAAAAACTGAAAATGTATCACGAACATTTTACGGGAAAATGGCCGTCCACGCGGACGTCGGATTCGAGAAATTAATTGTCCGCGGGGAATTTTTGACCGCCGAGGACGGGCAGTTTTTCGAGCCCTGTATCACAAAATAAAATTTCTTACTTCGCTCAGTCCTAGTTATCATATAAGAACATTTCTGAGTCTATATTTGGTAGAACTATAAAAAGTGCATAAGTTAAAAAAAAAAGAAATAATAATAACAAATTGAATCAGTTGAAAAGTTAATTAAAATGATAAGCAAATGAATTCCATTCATAATATTTGTAATAATTTTCTAATTCCAGTGTATTCTTTAAAGATTCTTTCCGTCATAAATGTGCAAGTTAGATTGAGAGATATTGATGTCTAGAAGTTCTTTTCTAAAAATTGTTTTACACCATTTCAATATTCTAGACAAACTAATATTTCAACTATTTTACTCCAATATAAAATTCTAATTTTAAATAAAACACCTTTAATGCCCATTATACACCACACAAAAAAGATATATACCATTTGAAAATAATATTATTTAGAAATAGTACAAATATTTCCTGAGCATTTAGAACTGTTACTAACAACTTACCATTATGAACGCAAGCACGCGGCTTAATTAGACAGCAAAGGAGGTTGATATTTTTTTTATTTGATTACTAGTGATTCATTAAACATCAATAGCTTAAAAATATTTATTAGTTTAAAATCAAAAATAATTAAAAAGTAAGCTTAGTATGTTTAGCTTAAATCACAGAAGTTTAAGAGATAATCCGATCTATAAATGATGTTTTTTCTTTCATTTTTTGAAAGAACGCCATAATTTTTAAAGAACATGATAAAAACATTTTACATTTTAATAAAATATGACTGTGAGTGGGGATTTCATTACAAATTCAGATATTCGGAACTCCTTGATATTGGGGGGTGGGGAGATTAAATTTTAAAAATTAGATTTTTTGGCAACCTAAATCCATGACTTTCCATGATTTTTTTTAAAAAATAGTTAAAATCATGACATTTCATGACAAATTTTGTGCAATGCCAAAATTCATGACTTTCTCTGATTTTTCATTCCTTTCCAGGTGCGCAGACACCCTGCCCAGAACCCAAAACTTTATGTAACGTGAAGCCTCACATTTCAAGGTTTGCGTTATAAAGATCTTCTACAGTTTTTAAATGTATGAACAAATCAGTAACAAAAATGCAATAAAATAAATCAGTATCATTTCAAATATTTACAACGATAAAGTCTGAAAAAAAGTTATACGTAATTTAAAAGTGCAGAAATAAATTTTAAAAAATGAAATGGTATATAATTAATTACTCTATGAAGTTCAGCAAAAGATAGCCTCCAAGGAAAATGCATACTTTTTAGAGGTTTTTGGCCATTAGCGGGTTTTATAAAATTAATTTTCCCTAATGCTCCAAACAGGGCATTACCCCACACGTAGACACGCTTTCTGCGTTTAGTGTTTTCAGTAGCATATTCAAAGATAGGCATTTTAGTTGTTTCTTCGGGATCTTGTTCTCTAACTAGTTTTCCATAACATCTTGATTGAGCACAGATTAGATAATTTTTGAAATGAAAAGTCCTCTTTATAGCCATCTTCTTTTTTCACTAATAAATATGGTAATAAGATGATAGAAAACAACAGCATTACTGAAAAAATAAAATATATCTTGTTAAAAAAATTATTGCAATAAGATATATACTATTACAATATATTGCACTACAATATTGGTTGGAACAGAACATAATGGAACAATGGCCATGCAGAATATGTTAGTCATAAATTTTTAGATTATGCAAACTCCTCGTTATGATAGAAACTATTTTCTCAGTTGAAATAGTTTTTAAAGTGTGGTCATATTTGTTCATTTGTTTTAAATGCACTTCGTTTTTTTAAAATTCTAACAAGAAAGTAACCTTTTCTAGACTCATAATTAAAAGGTAGGCAATGTTATAAAATATATAGCTATTACTCATAATGTGTTTATACACATAGTGTATATAGTTCATATATACAATGTAGTACAGTAATACAAGTTACATTTCACTGTTTTAAATGTATATTCTCTTATATATTTTTATTTTATATAGGAGTACAATTTTGAATGTATAACTTTTTAATTTTTCAATGAATTTGAAATAATTTTATAAAATTGAAAAACTATTAAAGATTTTGTTGAAATAAAAAATAATTCAACAAGTGCTAATGAAGAGACTGCATTTAAAAAGTATTTTTATTAACTCTTAAAAGTATATTTTTCTTAAGGAATTTTTTTGATGAAAAAAAATGTTCCAGAAATTTTCACTGCTCTAATTATATTTTGATTTTAATGTGTAAATAAATTTTTAAAATACATTTAATTGTCCAAAATCTTCAAAGGCAGATATAAGGTTTCTAAAATTTTTTAATTTTTTTCTCGATTACACGATACATATCTCTTAGAGAATTTGCTCGCAGCAGTAACTCTGTTTCTTTTTGTTAAAAAGAAATAGCAAGCTTTAAATTAATTAAAAGTATTTTTCGACATTATTATTGAATGTGCGTTGGTAAAAAACATTTCCAACTTTTATTAAAATTTTTACAAACGAATCTTATCTCACATTATCCAATTTTTAAAAAACCGTTTTTTAAATAATGCATGACAAATGTCAGATATAGTATTAACCAAATAATCAAATCTCATTTGTAAGAAATAGTATCGACTAAATAATATTATTGATTTTTATTTAATTCAGTAATGATGGGAGATCATAACAGAATTTATAAGCTTTAAGGGAGATCATTACTGTTTAAATTAAAAGATTTTTAAATAAATTACATTGTGTTAGAATTCAATGTTTAAACAAAATCAAATGAAACCTTCTGAGGAATAAAAATTTATTTTTATTCCTCAGAACAATTTTATTTTTTAACATTTCATGAACTACTAACTGATTTGATTAAGATCAAAAATAGTCTATGTTGTTATTTAAAATTGCAAAATGTGTAGTAAAAAATATTATATATCATTGAAAAAATTTTCGAACATTATTAAATTAAATAATAAAAATTATAATTATTAAATATTTTTGCATAGAATAGTTTAAATTATTTTGCTAGCTTTTTTGAAAAGATTTTAAGTTGTGCAATTAGTTTCTTGAGCTAATTTATTTGCGGGGAAGATAATTTCGATAATAGAATCAAACACAAAAATTTTCATTAAATAAACATAGACTTTTTTTATGATTTATTTTGAATCTGGACCCTTAAATTATGGTGACAGCCACTATCTTTAAAAAAGGACCCCAATATTTAAATCAGAAGAGCGGCTAAAATTTTGAGTTCCTTAATTTTAATTACAATTTTTGCTATTTCAGCTTATCTCTACAAATATTGCAAATCAAAAAATATTTGCTCACGATTATGAAACATGTTTATTCTAAAAGAATTCAATGTAAAATAATTCAATGTTTATTCTAAGAGAATTCAATAGTAAAATAACATCCAACATAGCTCCTCGAAAAACTTTTTGTAAATCTAACATTAAATTCGATTTAAATCCTTCAATTGCCTAGATTATATATCATGTGCAAACTGGACACTATATCAAGTTCCCACTAACTGTTTTAAACTATTTTATTGTTAAAAATACCAATTTATTTAAAAAACACTTTTCAGCAATTATCATGTCTTGTCGAATTAGTTAAAAATAAAAGGAATCTATAAATGTAATTGTTAAATGATTTTTGTTGATTTTAAATTAAGTTTTAACTTCAATCTTTAATAACACACAATTAATATTTAGTAAATTGATTTGTATTAACTAAAAATTAGTAAGTCAACCATAAAGGTAACACAGGACAGATCTCTTTCTTCTTTGTTAGCTTTATGGAATGTATCATATTTCTTCTTCATTAATTTATTTACTACTTTATATTTATGGCACTAGTGCTGAAACAATCAGGTAATAACAGACGATAAAAGTTTACTAGTTTAAAATAAAGATTTAAATAACAAAATTTACAAACATTTTGAATTAGTTAAAAAAAACAGCACTGCAAGGGTTTTGCAGCATAAAAACTCAAAAATTAAGCTGATTTAAATTTAAAAAACTTAAAATTTTATAAATGCTAACAAACACTTATGCAACATTTTAAAATTTTTAATCTAAAAGACTTTGTTCTACCTATTTCTGCTTAATTATGAACCTGTACTTAGCGTGTTGTGAATTTTCACATTTTGGTTAGAGCTTACATATTCTATTTTGGCCTAAATTACAAGCGAGCCGAGAGGCTAACACTTTCAAATCTATAAACGTGTATTTTTTTCTCGGAAGTTCAGGCTTCAGTGGATGGTGATATTTTTTAATCTATTCTTTTCTATGCTGGATCTATATTAGGGAGCACGGGAACAGGACGTATATTGCGAATATTTTTCTAAATAATTTCTTACTTCAATAGTATTCTTTGAAACTATTTTTGTACATAACATTTACATCTTATTTTTACAAGAACATATCCTATAATCAGGTAAATATCACTTTTAAAATTAGACTTATTAATTGCCAAACGTTTATTGTTTGTTTTACACTTCTGTCATTTTTCTGCACATAATTTTCTTTAAATTATTTTGTTAATTAATATTTTCTTAGTTACTATTAAAAGCTATTCTAGGTAGGCATTTTGTAAAGATTTTAAACGTATGTATTGCTAGTACTTTGTTTGTGTCGGATGTTGTATCGTACGTATATTATGTCGTTAGTAAATATCAATGAGTTTGTTGCATTATTATTTATATGTCACGATTCGTTTTGTTTTATGAATATATCTTTGATAAATGAAATTTACATTAAAAATGCATGTATTTGCTAAGCATAAATATTTTTGCGTTTTAATATTCTCAAATGTTTTTTTATTTTTTTTAAATTAAAATAATACTTGTGCATCAAATACATTTTGAAATTAAAGAATTTTTGAGTGGTTAATAAATAAAAATTATTTCTCCTTTGAACAGAGTACTATCAAAGTATTATTAGTTTTTAATATAAATATCCTGCTGGAAAACTATCCCCTAAACTGAGATTTTTAGCTTTAAAATTTTCTTTCAAAAATTAAGATCAATGTTTATTTTTTCTGTTTTGCTTTAGCATATAAATTTTTTTTTATATATAGGCGTTATGATAGCTCTGTATTTTTATAGATTATAACTCTTTCAACTTTATTATTCTTGTTATTTTAATAACTGTTACTCAGTTTTTTATTTGTCTTAAATATTTTTATTTTAGTTTTTATCCTTTTCCTTATTCCAATAACATGGTTAAGTTAAGATTATTTTTCAATAATGACTAAACTTATTTATGTGTAAAACTATTTCTACTCATTTATATAGTTAAAAAAAAATCATTAGTAATATTTATTGATTTTTTTAATACAAAAATGTTGCTATTTAGCCACCAAATATTTGGTTTTCAGCCTTTTTTTTTTTTTTTTTTTTTTTTTTTTTTNAAAGTGTGTTTTTTTTTTTTTTTTTTGCTAAATATTCTGCCAAATCCCTAATTATGTCCTTAGCATATACCAAATTTATTGACCTATTTTTATAAATCTTATTTTAAATGATACTTCTTTATTAAACCATTCTCTTAAAATAGCAGCATTAGAATTTGCATTTATAGTTGTATAAAGGCATTTGTTGTTTTAAGTTTAGAAGGTTATGCATATTTTTACTATATTAATAATGTAATATTTTCAGACATTTTGAATACATATTACGCAGCTAGTTCAAAATAATTCAAATACACATTGTAATTTATTAGAATAATGACTTGTTATTTATATGTAAAACTAAGCCAATAGTAATCATATATTTGTTACAAAGCAACAATATTCATAATGAATTTATCATTATTAATGTAACATACCAAAACTGTTGTGGTAAAAAGCGTGAATTAAATTAATTTTAACTGAAATCGTAAGAAATTTTATTTAATAGTAGTTTTGAATTTCATATTACTGTCATTGAACAGTCGACCCAACTTTGAGTTTACAACTACTAATGTTCAATTCTTTAGCCTTGTAATTTTGAACCCAATCCAGAAGACAAATAAACTCATAGATCAAGGGTTGGGACAAATTAGCCTTATTGGAGGGTATTTTTATGAAACCTGCCTGCATTTGGATTACATAGATAGAAAATACTCTCAGTGTAAGCCTGACTACAAGGGGGTTCTAACACATATCATCTACCACGGAGGATATTTTATGTCGGCTCTGGTCGTTACACGCCAGAAGCAGAATTTATATAGACCAGGTCTCTGCTGGGATACGAACCAGAGTCACCTCATCTGGAGATGAACGCTCAGTTGTAAATTTCAATTTTTGTTTCATCAATGAAAGATGTCTTCAGGAGTCTGTCTAGGTTTTTCTGAGAGGTACCTATTTTGTGAAAAGTTTGACTTAATTTATGAAAATTATATTAAAAAATCACAAAAATATGGATTTATCGTAATTTACGAGTCACAAAAATAAAATTTTAAGAAAAAATATTTTGTGAATATACCGTTTATCTTTAAGTTGAATTTATGAAGGTTCCACTAAACGGTATTAAATATGGCCTGGACAGACCCCTAGTCTTTTTTATGTTATGTACAGTGTATGCTGATAATTTTATTCATTTTTAGACATGGCCCGTGGTCAGCAAAAGATCCAATCCCAACAAAAGAATGCAAAAAAAGTACAGGATGCTAAGAGACAACAAGGGCATGATCAAAAGGCTGCAGCACAAAAAGCACTAACTCATGTGTGCACTGTGTGCAAGGTAGTAATAATAAAATAAATATTTTTAAGTTATTTAGGTGTCCAACCTATCAGATCTAAATCAGTTTACCCTTAACTATCCATCAGTTGTTAACAGCAGGGTTTGCTTGATTTAAATCAACAGAATGTTTTTATTTTTAAAAAAAATTCCTTTATTTTTAAGTAAAATTATTTGTATTAGGATAATTTATAAATATAGTCTTATGGTTGTGATTGTATAATATATCAAAGCTAAACACGTAGCCCAAAAAATGTCACTAGTAAAATCTCCATTATTTTATTTCTCCAATGTTGGCAGGTATGCAATGCTGAAAGTTTCTATTTTGTTACATACTGTCATTTGAACAAATTTATTTCCCATCAATAATGTATAGATTAACTTTTATCTTTTAAATATCCAAGTAGGCTTTCATTTAAGTAATTTTGAAGAAATTTATTTTTTAACCACCAGTCCTATTATTTAGTGACACACTGATTGTCCTACCATTACCAAAATACTACATCCCTACTGTCTCAAATAGGGGCTATTATATTTAGAAATATAACTTAGTGTTTTTTTTTTATGTAAGGTAGAATTATTTTTTTAATTCAAATTGCATTTAACAGTTAAAATTTTATTTGGTTATTGTTTGAGTAGCTATTTAATGGTAACAGAAGGACAGAAAATATGGTATGGGGAAAGACATTTAGCTGTAAACTGATTTAGAGTAATCTTGACTAGAAGATGAGTCAAAACTGCAGAAGAAAATGCAAGCTTGCTGCAGAAAATACCCAAAATATCAAAGTGGCATTTGTTTCAAAAGAAAGGGTAAATAAATTCAAAGATCTTACAGAAAGATGTAATCATATCCATTTACTTACTGATACACACAGTGCCCACTGTGTGTATCAGTAACAGTTCTAACAAACCTGTTAGAAATTCTGTTATTGAATATAGTGAGTATCTTTTATTCTGAGCAGAAGATATTTTGCTTTAAGGAGAACAGGAAAATTCTGAATGATGTAACAGGTGAAAGCATACAGGCCATTAGAATAAAACAAAGAATATATTTACAGTTGGGCAATTTTTGCTGAAATAATAGAAAGGGAAAAGATAAAAAATCTAAATTTATGTTAGACAGATGCAGCAGAGCGCCGATTATCCGAACTATGTCTGAATTCGCTTCTTTTATCTTCCAAGAATGTGGGCTTCATTTTGACAGTCTACACAGGTTGGAATGAGGAAGGAGCTTATGAATAGATAAGTGCTGAAGTTCTACAATTGGATGATGGGTGGTTGTCACTTATCCTTATGGTTAATGATTAGTAGAGCCCGGATTTTGATGACCTCAAAAATCTCAACTAATGCCCTTAAAAAGTGCAAAAAATGCCCCTAAAAATGTAAAAATGTCTTAAATAAAGTAAAAATAGTGAACTAAAACAATGTTTTACTCTTTACAGGGATGCTACGCCTGCGCCATTTGCGACAAACTGAGACAAAACGGCATAACTGCGCCATTTTGCGACATTCAGCTCNAATATAAAGCAATGCAATACATGTTCTACGTTCATCAGTTTGAAGAATATGTTTATATCCCAAAATAACAACAACAAAAAAAAGGAAAATATATTGACACCGAAGCATTTTCATTTTGTATAGAAACTTTAATGAATATATGAACTTCTATCTCATAATATTACTAAATATCAGAATTACATTGGATTATTAAATGTTTTTTGGTAATTTGAAATGTAAACTAGTGTTTCCTGTCTGAAAGTAAGATGTTGCTTCACTGGTTAATATCCTAGAGATTTTCTTCGTTGTTTGGAAGCCAGTGTAATAATAAAAATTGGAAAAAATTAACAAAAAACTTAAAAAATACTTTAAAATGCAAAATACGCCCCAAAATTTAAAGAAAAATGCCCTATAAATCTTAAAAAATGCTCTAAAGGACAAAAAATGCAAATGTCATCAAAATCTGGGCTTTAATGATTAGTGATTAAAGTGCTTGGGATAAAATTCTTAGCAGAAAAACAAACGAAATTGAATTTTTTGAACCAGTAGATCTTCCGGGTGAAAAGATGCCAAGTTATACAGCAGAAGAAATAGAAGACTGATGCCAAGACACTGAAAACGACCCAGGATTTAAAATGATGTTGAAATTTTGAATTAAAATTGGGACTCCGCAGGCGAAGAGGAAGAAGTAGATGTTCAAGATAGTGGACCTCATGCAGAAGCGTGCAATTCATTAGATATTGCAATGAATTGGCTAGAACGTCAAAATGATGTTGATCCAGTTCAGTTGCTTTATTTGAAAAGAATAAGGGATATGGCAGCTCAAAAAAGAGCATCTTCTTTGAAACAAAAGTCTTTGCTGGATTTCTTTTGCAAGAAAATAAAGAAAAATGTCTTAAAATCAGTAATTGACAAAAAAATCAGAAAAAGGTGAAATATAATAAAAATAATTCAAAATTAAAAAAAAAACTTTTAAACATGCTAGAGCTATTTTAGATAGTACTGCCAGTCCTAAGCGTAGAAAAAGTTTGAAGGGAAGTTAGTGCGTAAATTATAATAATCTGAGAACAATTATCCGAACCGTGCTCGGTCCCCAGCAGTTCGGATAATCGGCGCTCTACTGTACTTCGTACAGAAGATGATTGTATAAAAATATCCTGTTTGAGGGAGTATAATAATGGAAGAAAGGATATCTATCATTTGTCTAAAGTAAGAACTCCAATAACCATTTGTCTGGACCTGTGACAGTGACTATGGTAACGAGGTATACCTATTTCAAGTAGGGGTGTGTGGTTACTGTTTAGGGCAGGTTTTGGCTCGGGTAATATAATCTGTTAGAAAGAAATATTATTGGAGGGTAATTTATAAATTGTTAAGGATCAAATTTAGTTATCACATATTTGATAAATTTTTACAGTGTTAAATCCCATGAGTCGTGGGGAGAACAGGGAAAACCTGGAATTTTCAGGGACTTTTATTTTAACTCGAAGAAACAGTGAATAGTCAGGGAAATTTTTTACAAAAAAAAAACTGGAAAATTCCTATATTATACCTGGAAAATAACCAGTCTTAGAATTGTCAATAACAGTAATCACTGAGATTCAAGTTGAACAAGTGACTATCTGTTGCAATTATTTTATAAAATTCCACTTTTTAGAGAAACTTTTCCATGTTTCTATTCTCATTCTGTTTTTGCTCAAAATCTGATATTCCTTATTCCAATTAAAAAATTCAGTGTTTTCTAATAAATGGTTTAGATAAAATATAGTATGGATTTCCATTGAAATTTACCTGAAAAAGTCTAGAAAATTCTTTTCCTGAAATTTGTTGGGAGCCCTGAGTGAGTTCCGTTTTAAAACTCAATGTGTTCTTTTCTGAGAGGAAGCACCCTGACTTTTTTTTATTCCAAGGGCGAACACTGCATTAGCTATTTGAAAACAAAATCTGCCACTTTAGAAACTTGTTGCTATGTTATTGATTTGGTTTTATGTTTATTTTAATACAAATAGTTTTAAAACTAGAGATGTACCGAAGAGTGATTTAACCGTATACCGAATATTTGGCAGCCAAACGGTGACTTCTTTTTTTCTTTTTTTTTTTAATTCATTAGTAAATATTTTTTCTATTAATAAATTTAGTCTTTTTGATAAATAATCAAAACTTAGCTGTATTAGTATGGGGTAAAGAGAATAAAATTTCGTAAAATTTTCTAAAATAATTAAAAATATTTAAGATAAATAAAAGAAAATGACTAGTGGCTATTCACAAAAATAACTGTAGATGTAACGAGAAAGAAAAAGATAAATAGAAAGAAAATATTATTTTAATTTTCAAAACAAAACTTTAATGCTAAAATTAATATTTTTCTTCAAAATATCCACTAAAAAAAAACGTTAAAAACTGTCAGAACCACTTTTAAAAATGCAATGCTATCATAAAAACGTCGATAAAAATATCTATATGTATACAAGATCAAAGCAGAAAATATAAAAATCGGTCTTAATTTTTAAAGAGAAAATTCTAAAGCTAAACGTCTCAGTTTTCCAATTATCTTATTTTCAAGAAAAAGTAAACTTTTAAGTCTAATATAAACCCTTTTAACTGCAGCTTCATAATAAAAAAAATTTGTAAAAACAGAAGCTTTTTAAAAGACGAAAAAGCTTGATTGAAACCAAAAATCTTCCTTAATTTTTAAATGTAAGATTTAATGCTAAAAATCTCAATTTAAATTTTTCACAATGTCATTTTTTTTTAAAGTGACCATATAAAGGAATAACTTTCATTAGATAAGCTCTTTGAAATGTGTTTTCCCTATTTTAAAAACAATTGAAAACGTTGATTCGAAATCTTAAATTATATACTTGGAAAACAAACGCTTAAACTTCGTCTTTTTTCATTCATTTCAAAGTAAAAAGAAATATTAAAGTTGTAATAATATGCAAGGCATATATAACGAATTTATAAATTAAAACTAATCACTTATGCTTTACATTTTACAAAGAATCATTTTAATAAACTATCAATCAATCTGCTATTCTTTATACATTTAAGGCAAAGAGATAACTGAAATAGATATTCTCATAACTCTATTTCTTTTATTAATCCCTTTGGTTCTAATCAAACAATACTTTTCTGTATATTCTACATCTTATTCATGTAAGGGGGGGGGGGAATTGGCTCTTTTCATGAAAAAATATTTCAAAAAAAGAAAGAAAACACTTGGGCAAAAAAAAAAATTTTCCTTCCATGAAAAATCCCGTGTATGTTGGGTTTTTGTGAATCCCGCATAAAATCTTTAAATAAAATAAAATCTTTCTGTATNCTTTTCATGAAAAAATATTTCAAAGAAAGAAAGAAAACACTTATCCTTGGGCAAAAAAAAATACATTTCCTTCCATGAAAAATCCCGTGTATGTTGGGTTTTTGTGAATCCCGCATAAAATCTTTAAATAAAATAAAATCTTTCTGTATATTCTATCTTATTCATGTAGGGAAGAAACAAGAAAAGAAAAAAATTTTCTGTGAAGAATCCCGCTTTTGTTGGGGTTTTGTCAATCCTGCATAAAAGATGTGTAATTGCTACCATTTCTTTACTCAAGAATATATTTACAGTATGCAATGCTTTTTTTTTATGCGCGATATCACCTTATTTCTATCCTCTATTTGCTAAAAATGATATTTCTATCCTCTATTTGCTAAACATGCTATTCCTATCCTCTATTTGCTAAACATGCTATTTCAATCCTCTATTTGCTAAACATGCTATTTCAATCCTCTATTTGCTAAACATGCTATTTCTATCCTCTATTTGCTTTTAAATTAGATGCATAATATAGGTTTTGTATTCATAAAAAGTAAAAGGTTATGGATTACATATGGTTGAGACAAGTACAACTGAAAAACTTATATAAATTGTTATGCTTTTTATTGTTTAAAAGCAAATTTGTTATAAAAAAAATTTTCTTTAGCCTTAAATAGTTGTTTTAAATGATATTTATTTATTTTTTAGGCTCAAATGCCAGATCCTAAAACCCATAAACAACATTTTGAAAACAAGCATCCTAAAATGCCTTTACCAGATGACTTAAAAGATGTCTAATTCTTTTTTTATAAATGCAAATTTTTTACACTTGTGTGCCTGAACCAGTAATTTTTCAGGCATGAATGCCTTTTTGTGTATTTATCATCTGTGCTTTCTTCTTGTATTCCAAACTTTCATTCAAAATTTTGTACAATAAATTTGTTATTATGTACTTGTGCTCTGGGGTTATTTTATGAACAAAAGCAATGCACAAAGACCAAAGTATGTCATTAGTAAATACATGCCTGAAAAGAAGTTTGGGCTCACTGCTGTGCTGTTTCTATGATGGAACATGGTGCGTATCGTTTTTAAAAAGTACTTAAATGTGCTTATTTTCTTTTTTTAAAAGCCCTTGGAAGGGCTTCTTTCATAGTGTGTTTTTAAAAAATGCTTGATTTTCGCCACGTATTATGCAAATGCGTGCTTTTCACGTTGTTCTATTCAACGTTTTCTCAATTCATGTGACCACAATCTACTTCAGCTTACCGCCGGTTCATAGCGCATGAAAGCGCCAGTCATTTTACATGTTTGATGAAATACTTTGCGAGTGCGTAGAGAGAACTGTGTTCGGTGAAATTATTGCACTCTCGTGTGCAACTCTGCTGCATTTTGCAAGGTATTCTCAATTTCATGCTTCATTTTCCACCCTCTGAAATCGAACCGATCTCTTGATCACTTTTTAATGGCTAATATAATCAAGAAAAAGAGTTCTTTGTCAAAAATTAATTATTTTATCATAATCATGTAAAGTCTTTGAAAATTATATTGCATTTTGTTAATGTATTTAGTTCTTAATTTTTTTTTAGTGTTTAAAAGGTTTTTTTTTTTTTTTTTTGAAAGATTTGGCTACGCTCTCTGTGGAAACAAAATTTCCATTCCCTGCAACTGCCCTTATGAAATTTAATGACTACCCTTTACTATGTTTTTAAAAAGGAAAATCTACTCTTCATTTTTATATCGTTACACATTAGGGTTGCAAATAAATATTTTTATTTAAACGATGAAACAACGATCATGATAGTTATGGGGTCATTTAAATGATCGCTATTTCGTCTCCATTTCCATGCTTTTTTGTGTGTGTTCAAACCTGCTTTATTCAGAAGTGATTTGATGGCCATTTTTGTTTTTCTACACATAATTATTCAGATGTGACCCATGTGTATTCCTTTTTACTTTCATTTTTCGCGAAGTATCTAAAATACGTATATTAATGTAACGTTACGGAACACCATTTGTTTGCAAAACTGATAATTCATTTTCAAATTATGCTATTTGAAACTTAACAAAATTTATACCCGCCATTGTAAGCAAACAAAAAAAGCCAAAACCTTTTCTAAAATACACATAAAAACTCAAATTTTAAACGCTAAGGAGCGTTTTTTTTAGGACATTTTGCGCCCTTTTATCATTTCACAAACGTATAAATAAAAAGAATTGAAGTTAGTTGAGTATTAAGAGAGAATCGTATGTTTTTAAATTGGCTGCTGCTCAAAAAATGAAGCTGCTTGAACTGGAAATTCTGGTCCTAATAGTTTTGCCAGGAAAGCGGATTAAGTTTGGTCCACTAAATTTTAATTTCACTTCAAGTTTTAACTATATCTTTGAAACTAACTGCGTAATTTTAAAAAAAGAAAAAAATCGCTTTCTTTTATGAAACTTATTAACCCAAAAATAATTTCATTAATAGTTCTATATACATTCTACATTGCAGTTTTGTACAACGTATTAAAAAAAGATTTAAGTAAATGGAATTATTTTTTATTTAAATTGAATGGTTATTATGTAAAAAAGAAATTGTACACAATTCGCTAAAATCGTTTGGAGTAGGATTAAACTAGTATAAGACACTTAAACTCGTGACGAAATTATCGTTTGCTTCAGGTGTGCATTGACCCGAATTATGTGCGTGTATGTGAATGACTTCTTTTGGCCGTGGAATATTTCTGGTGACCTTCTCTCCGACCCAAGAGTCAAAAAATAAACTGAAATACATATAGAGTGATGGTTCTTTTGTAACCTAGAAGTTGGAACCCTACTGAATTCGTCTGTCGTTCTAGTTTCTAAAATTTGAAGTTTGACCCCTCGCTCAGTTCGACCTACTGACATAGCAACCAAAAGGGATTCAGCGAATATTACGCAAGAACCTGAGCTATGTAACGTTGAGGGAGTAAAGAAAATAAATTCTTTTTAAATGATAAAAAAAAATTTAGAAAATGCGTCTGGCGTTGCCTGTATATATGTCTTTATATACAGGCAACGCTGTTGTCTTTATATGTATACAGTCCCTGGCCAAATTATAAGATTCTATGTAAAATCTTAATTATCAGTTTATACTATACAGCTTTATTGTTTCTACACGGCTGAAACCGGTTTGAATTTGTTTACGTTCGCGTATAAATTGGTTAAATTAGACGATATATAAATGAAGAACATTTATTATATCGGGTATTATATTATAATAATTAGGCCGAATTAATAGACTCACTGTAATTTTCTAATAATTGCCTATTTTGCACGAGTTTATATACAATACATTTATGTTTAAACATAAGTGTAATGGGTTTTTATTCAGGAGAATTTTCATATATCTCCTATTTGTATTTATTTTTAACGTATTTCATTACAATGTTAGCCAACTGGTACACGAACGTAAGCAAGTGCAAACCGGTTGCAGCCGCGTAAAAACAGTAAAGCTGTATAGTATCACCTGATAATTAAAGATTTTACATTGAATCTTGTAGTGCTTCTAATAATATGGCCGGGGAATGTATATATATGTATGTGTGTGTATTTTTTTCTGGTCAATCAATGAACCGAAAATATCATGTACCATCAAGTTTTTCCGCGTTTGGTACAAAAACGTGCAATTGTTTTTTCCCTAAGTTTAAAAACTTAGACAATTTTGAATTTTTTTCCCTTAGAAAAAAAATTGTCCACAAGTCACAAAGATTTTAATTTTTGCAAAATACGTTTGAAATCGCTTGCGTTTGTTAATGCGCTCTTTCTTTTTCACCTTTATTTATTTTTTTAACTCATGTAGTTTTAATATGTTTTGATAGAATACATGTATTTAAGATTTATTTACTTTTATAGTTGAACTTTGATTTCATGAATAGAAAATTTTTAAATGAACCTTTCAAATTATGTTAATTATAAATTAAAAATAAATAATTGAGCTGGGAGTAGTAGAACAGAAACGTAGAAGACAACGAAGTTCGACATCCTCAAAGACAACAAACAAGGCAAATAGTGCTTACGTAACATTTGAACTGTCTCAATCGAAGCTTCAGTCTTAAATCTTGTTCTAGATTTAAAAGAGGAAAAACGGGTGCAAATTACCTGTTCTCCTCAACTATTTTGTTTATTTTTTCCATATCTACAAACAATTTGTTGTTTATCGATTGATCAAGAATGCAAGGTAAAATCTTGGTGAAGAAATCAAAAATAAAAAGTGAGATTTAGCGAAATGATACTGCACGGGAAATTTTTATTCCATTTATGTTTCACGGAACATGAACGAAAATGAATCACGCAATCTTTTTTTTTTTCTTTTAGAAGGATTTAAGTATACCAAGCATTTTATGCTTTGTGTTTTGTTCATTATTTTTCTTTTTAAATTAAAATTCTCTATAAGCGATACGCGAAAAAACCTTCAAAATATTTGTTACATTTAAGAGTAATTGGGTAATTGCAACCTCTAGAACAAAGGTTTCCAACTTACATGAGGCCCGGGGCCGCAATTAAAAAGACCAGTCAAATGGCGGGCCGCAACTTTATCAAAATTTTATATAGGAATCTTTTATGTTTGAAAAAACATTAAATATTACTGTCAGATTTTTATCAAGTTGTACAAAACAAAAGTATTGAATTACAAATTAAAATAAGAAGTAGATTTTTAAAAATATTTAATTGTATGTTAAAAAATTCTGGCTACAATAACTTTAACGTGCACCTATGTATTAAACAATTGATGTGCAACAGATATCAAATAGTTAAGATATAAAACTTAAAAGTATTTAAAACCCATGTAGATTTTCTACGAAAATTGTCCGCAAAAAAATGACAACTAATATATTTTGGCTCGCGGGCCGCCAGTTGGAAACCTCTGCTCTAGAAGAAGGAGATTACTGAAATTGTTAACAAGATGGGTGTTAAAGAGGGCTAGTTCACTCCGCTCTTACAGCTGAAGCTACAATTTCCCTCCTCATGACGTCACTGTGTCCACAGATCTCGGAAAATCGCACGCAAAGATATTATGATAACTTTGCATCTTTCTCTTTGTAAAAATAAATTAGACTTTTTCTGGTTATTAGCTTTCAAACTTTACGTAATCAACACATTATTTCCATTCATAAACATAGTTTAAAAAAACTTTCTTGGTCATTATATTTAAAAAATACCATTTTAAACTTATAAAAATATTTTTCAAGTTGGCGAAAATGACACTATAAATACTTTATTTTAAAAAGTTCAGTTTTAACTTTAATTATTAAGAAAAATGAAAGCATATATCGACACTTTTTTATCTACATATTCTTTTATAACAATAAATTGAGTTAAATTAAGAATCCCCGATTCTAAAATATATCGTTAATAGCAATTTGTTCATACTTAATCATTAGGAAACATCAACCTTAAACGCTAATTACTGAAACAAAATAATAATTTAGGTTCATAATGACATTCGAAATTTTACAATTGCTTATAAATATTTAAATTTAAGATGATATAATTTATAGATATTTAAAATCAAGAGAATATAATTTTTAAAAGAATCATAAATATTTAGAATAATTACATTAAAAAAATAAGTCATGAGATTAGGAGAATTTCAACTGTACATTATGTATTTTATTTATACTTTTTACTTACGTTTTAATTTTCTTTGACTTTATCCATTTTTTAATTTTTTTCACCTGCCTTTCTTTTTGAAGTAACGAGGCGGTTTCTATTTAGATAACGAATTTTTATAAAAGTTCTTAACGATAGAAAAAAACGTATTGCTGTTTTATATTAACTGTGTCATTTCGGAATCCATTCTTTACATAGTTTTTCATTTACTTTAGGAAATACATGGAAAATCATATTTTTTCCTTTTGTTTTTCTATCAGAATTTTTGCAAGTTGCAATCGCGCAAACTGGCATTTCGTTAATAGTTTTAAAATTTTGTAA